CCTGTATAAAATTTGTGTTTTTGCTTGGGGTGGGTTTTCAGCTCTAAATATTATTACGTTATTTATCCACAGCTATTTCTGAGTACAATGAATTAGCTCGGATGAAAAAAACATGTGACAACTGGTCCAGTCTCGAAAGAAGGTGCTCTGTAAAAGTCTTGAGTATAGAAGCACAGTTATATGGTAACGGTGTATCATGTTGTGATAAGTGTACTGTTACTAACAGTATTCCTCTTGATCATAGATACCAATTGGGAGGATGTACCACTGTTTTATAAAAGAAAGAAATGGGTCTTGATCGGACAGTATGGACGCAACACGCTCTGGTGGTTTTTAGACCACCAAGGAACACACCATGACACCCAATTACCGCAACGAGAATTTTAGCAAACGTGTTGTACCAGTTGTCTTCATCTGATGCATGATCTAGAATCGCAGTGGATGCGAATATTATATTGCCATGGTAGGGGTCATGAGTATTCATAGTGGCGATTTTACTCTAAACATCAACAATGATGACGGTGAAGAAGTAGAAGAGTGCATTCCGTGGACCCTGGAAGTCTTATACATTCGATTGTCGAGTATAGATATGCTCTTAGGACTAGACTATATGCGGTCAGAAGTTTATTGAATGTACATGTAAGACCACTACTAAGAGATTTAAAAGTTATTAGAGTTACCTGTATACATAAGAGATTGTGCGAGAACCATTAAAAAGTGTCTGTGGTGCTCCCCACCAGAGTGAATCCATGGCGTATATCTGGGCACGCAAGAGTTCGTGACCACTCAGCGGGTCATGTGCGAAAGAGAAGAACAGGAGCAGCAGCAATCCTTATGTGTAATAAGCTATATAATTATATGGAGTTAGTGTAAGGTTATTACTGTTTTGCAATCTATGCCAATTCTTTATCTGCAGTCATTCTCCACTCTGTTGCCTACTTTAAGCAAAGCAGATATGCTGATCAGTTTGTAATGGTCACAGACCTTTCATCAGATGGCTGCTCGTGCTGGGGCGGGCTGAGTGGGTGCAGTGAGGATGATGAAGATGTCTGTGAAAGGTACTGCTGTCTTATCACCTCAAAGTCCTTGCCACTATGATCTATGGCTGTGGAATGATAAGACAGTACTTTACATATGCCAAAAGCTGTTGTAAGATTTTAGATTTCTCATGGTTTACAACACGTGAACACTAGAATGAAAGTGCTGGATTTGGTAGAGAGAGCTCTACACTGGAAGATGTGAAAAGTTATTTACAGGCCCCATGTCAGACGGTAAGCAGAGGTATAATGCTTTTTCCATATTTCAGCCTTCACACTTGCAGATTCGCAGCTTCGGATCTGGACGGCAGCTGAGGTGTTCTCAGGATGATTATGTGGCTCTTGTTGATGTGTGGAGTCAGTTGATGGGTATCACTCATTGACTCGTACCAGTGCAGTAAGATGAGTAGATAGAGAATATCTTAAATGAGATCTACCCCTTATTTATGACCACTACTATTGGGAGTGTTATGATTGTTTTGTTAGGGCATCATGTCCCAAACGCATCACATGTGTGTTCATTTTGAAGTAACAGGTGTTGTGATAGTAGTGGTGCATTTCTAAGGGTTGGCATAGTGCAATGTCATTGTGATTTAGGGAGCACCAAATCAGAGTTGGCCAGTCGCAAGAGAAAGACAAGTGATATTAAAAGATTATGTAGTTGCTACTGTCAGGTTTGTTATTGGTGGTCTGACAACTTCCCTGCAGCTATACTGTTGCCTCTATTCTGCATAGATGCTCTTCTGTCTACAAAGGAGCAGCATACTACCAGATGATTACTGTCTAAAGATAAGTTTGGTGATAGTCTTGTCACTAAGTACGGTAGTACTTAGTATATAGGGATTGACATGGTACCTAGCATCATAGATGTATGGGGCTATGATAGGGAGTTTTGTTCATCATCATCATCTTCTTCTTCTTCTTCTTCTTCAACCAGCATAACCCAAAAACCGAAAGAGATTAAAGCCATAAAATTTTGTAGGAATGTACATATCGATAACCACATGTGCAACGTCATACTTTTTTGTTTGTAAACAATGTTGTTTACCGTAAACAACAACAAAATTGCCCCAGGCAATTAGATTATAAGGGCAATACGTATAATGGGCATATACATGTGTCAGTGTACTCACAATTGGTAACAGCTATGTGAACGAAACTTGTAGACATAATGTATTCAATCACCAACATAAAAAATCCACAACACACATGTTTGTAAACAACAACAAATAGCCTCAGGCACTTTTCTTTAAATTACTTCTTCACTTCTCAACTTTCCAATGGTAGCACGCATAGAATGAAACTTAGTACATATGCCTATTATATCTTCCATGACGATTACATGTTTCCATGACGACCCGCATATTGTTAGAAAAGCTCAGGCAATTTTCTTTAAAACACTCTTCTACTCCTCAACTGTAATGTAGCCGCATGGATGAGTTGGCGTGCATGTGTAGTACATCATTCTACTGCTCATGAACATGCTCCTTCTACTTGCCCTTCTACTGCTCATTTTACTGCCATTCTACTGCTCATTCTACTGCTCATTATACTGCTCATTCTTCTGCTCATTCTAGTGCCATCTACTGCTCATTCTACTGTAATTTTCTACTGCCATTCTACTGCTCATTCTACTGCTCCTCTACTGCCATTCTACTGCAAGTCTACTCCTCATTCTTCTGGCAGTGAGAGAGGAGCAGTAGAATGAGCCGTAGAATGGCAGTAGATCATGAGCAGTAGAATGGCAGTGGAATGAGCAGTAGAATGAGCAGTAGTAATGACAGTAGAATGAGCAGTAGAATGAGCAGTAGAATGGCAGTAGAATGAGCAGAAGCATGAGGAGTAGAATGCCAGTAGAATGGCAGTAGAAGGAGCAGTAGAATGAGCGGTAGGAATGAGCAGTAGAATGCTGATTATACTGCTCCTTCTACTGCCATTCTACTGGTATTCTACTGGCTCATTCTACTGCTCACTCTACTGCCATTCTACTGCTCATTCTACTGCTCATTCTACTGCTCATTCCACTGCCATTCTACTGCTCCTTAGTAGAATGGCAGTAGAATGAGCAGTATATTGAACAGTAGTTTCACATTCTACTGCTCATTATACTGCTCCTTCTACTGCCCTTCTACTGCTCATTTTACTGCCATTCTACTGCTCATTCTACTGCTCATTCTTCTGCTCATTCTAGTGCCATTCTACTGCTCATTCTACTGCCTCATCTACTGCCATTCTACTGCTCCTTCTACTGCTCCTTCTACTGCCATTCTACTGCAGGTCTACTCCTCATTCTTCTGGCAGTAGAATGGCAGTAGAATGAGCAGGACAATGAGGAGTAGAATGCCAGTAGAATGGCAGTAGAAGGAGCAGTAGAATGAGCAGTAGAATGGCAGTAGAATGAGTAGAAGAATGAGGAGTAGAATGGCAGTAGAATGTGACATCGCCATGCACGCGCAAAGCTACGGAAGCCCATAGGGGTCATCCATTGCAATTGACAACTTTGGCAACTTCCATCCTATTACCGGTTACTTCCATTTTATCTCTTCCATTCTACGGACTTCTTCCATTCTACAACATCCTCTCTCATGAATGCGCTATATACGTCGGAGAGTATAAAGTAATAACTGAGCTGTACATATTACATCACATAGCTGCACATGACATTATTTTCTGCGATGAAGAGAAAAAGAAAGGCTGGAAAAAACAACTTAAGTTTTTATATGCATAATGCCCAGATGGATTCCCACTCATGATCAGGTGTACCTCGACCTTGGTGCTGGCACCATGAAACCAGTTTTTTCAAAAGGTCCCAAGACAATGCCTGATTGACACTGCACAGGTCGAAATACATTTCAAATGGTGCAAGGTAGCTAGTGTTGCATGCTGCAACCATACGGGTTGTTGAATTAAGACCGTGTTACTGAAGCATCAGCATGACACCCTTAAGCTACACTCTAACATAATACCCATTTTATATTGTGCGATATATAGCTTATGACTACTAAGCTTTCACTTAGAGTGTTAATTTGCCCCATACTGCTAGCAAGTACACCATCTAATCTAGCTACAACCTCATTTAGACTGTGCGATGCTTTGTGCCTTCCTTCAGTTTAAAAATGGTAACCTGCTAGGATAAAAATATAGAATTATGGATATACACATGTCTAAACATGGACCTCTGTTGGGCTGGTTGCAGTAATGTAACTGTCTTATGCTTTCTTAATTAACGCTAACTCCGACGTAGTGCATGCATGAGAGGGTGCACTAAGTCATTGTGCTGTAGAATGTAAGAAGTCTGTAGAATGGAATAATACAATTGAAGTGAGTAAAATGAAACATACACAGTAGAATAGGATGAAAATGCAGGTAGCAGAATGGAAATTGGCAAAATTGTCTATAATCCAGTTTTAACCTACAATAGTATATGACAATACAACATTCTACTGCTCATTCTACTGCTCATTCTACTGCTCATTCTACTGCTCCTTCTACTGCCATTCTACTCCTCGAAACAAGTTAAGGGTCGTACTCTGATTCCTGCTATTGCAAAATGTGAAAGTGAAACTTGGATGAATCTGAGTATGCTCAGGAGGAGCATAGAGAATGAAACAGAACTACGTTTTGTATTAGCTGACCCCATCCTGAGGCTCTTTTGCTCATTTTGGAACCTTACGGTATGTGGGTGGGGGAATGGAAATGGCCAAAATTGTCAATTGCAATGGATGACCTCAATGGGCTTCCGTACATGCTTACTTGCTGCGTCAGTTAGACACACCATCGTAACTTATCAACCACCAGTGGATAAGTTGTTTTTTCCTATAACAGTCATTGCATGTACTGATAGTACCAACCCAATTTCATTCATTGCAATTCTCTGAAATGTTTGAACAAGAAACTGTGTGTATACAGAACTCGTTACAGCAAAAAAAAACCAAATGAGTGTGTAGGGTAGTACACCCTAACCCTATTGTCCTACCAAAGTCTTTACTTCTGTGCACAGTTGGCTTGGTTCTAAAATCCCTCTCGCATAGTTAGTCAGGCACAACTCCATTACTGATTCTCCTTCACTTATTTCAAGTTTGAGTACACATAATATCGAACCACATAGCTTGTCAATTAGAAGTCCTTTAACTTCATATTTCGAATCAATAGCCTTGCCTTTTTGAATTCTTTTTAGAAGTTTACTTACTAGAAAAATGTGCAAACCTCCAAACACTTCTCCTACTTTTTCAGGCAGCTCAAAAATGGATGCGCCTTGCATTGGGAGACGTTGATGTGAGTTCTCTATTAACTCATCCTCACTGCTTGAGTCGTTTGATGTACTTCCAGAGATGCCAAGGTTTGCCAAATGTTTGTTTCCAATTACGATGTCTGGAGAACCACGAAATAGAAAATAATTTGCTGCTCCAATCTCTTTTACACCAAGACGGGTCAGCAAATATTTATCCCACTGAGTCCCCCATTCAGCCGTGTATGTTACGTTATGATTGGGAAGCATCTTTTGAAGTCCAGTCACCAATCTTTTAGTCCAATCATTCTCACTCCAATTGTAAACAATTTGGCCTGAGCATTCAAATGGTGTGTTTTTGTCTCTTTTTTTACCATCCACAATCTCCTGCAACTCGACAATGTCCGACTTGATCCCATGGTCTTTTGGTGCTGAACGATGCTTATAATCTTTCAATACTTCCTCATTGTCCTTGAAGAAAGGCAGCAAAGAATAGTGATGCAACTTGTCCGCGCACTTTTCAAGTTCTCCCCTTGTTACATTAATTATAATGCCACCTCCAATTTGCGAAAAATGAGTTTGTGAACATTGTGCATGTTGCGTTTTGTGTTCATATATGTACACACACGTTTCTACTCCACCAACTTTTAAAAAACTTCCATCAGCCTTATATCCAGTCCTTCGACCCACCTCTGCATCTGCTAACTCCATCATATCCCTCTTTATCGTATTTTGCATCTCCAGGCTAGAAGAAACGGTACGGGTAAAACTTCCGAAGGAAAACCGACTTGGGGCTGTGTCAAGTTTTGCTTTCAAATGATAGACACGCAGACCAACGTACAAAAAGTCAGCGTCAATGCAAGCCTGCAAGAAAAAAAACTCAGTACAGGATGTGTCATTCTTTACTAGTAAATATGTATGCAATTTGTGTAATGGTATTTTGCCCCCCTAGCTCCCACCACAGGACATTAGAGCACTAAAGTACAAAATCCTTGGCGTGCATTGGGTAAACTTCTGCTCATTCTACTGCTCTTTAGGGCCGAGATGCAGATGCGCAAATTCAACTAGTTTTCACTTCACGTGGAGCGTTAGAGACAGCCATAGCCAACTTCTCAAGGCTAGGGTCATGTTTCAAGGTAAGTTGAATCTCATTATTTTTTGCATTGCGTTTCTGTTGCGTTTCCGTTGCGTTTTAGTGACGTAACTTGACCCTCGTGCTCGACCCTTGGGCCCCAATGAGTTAACATACCTTTAGCTCTCCTGATTCGCACATCATTTCCATTATTGGATCCCCCAGCACATATCTGAGTTCGGCCTCGTTCTGAATTCTCTTGGAATGTGCTGTTTCTCCAATCAAGAACAGGGCAAATCTCTCATAAATCTTGCACTCGCACTTTGTCGAACTCCGTATGGCATCTATATACATACCTTGATACTGGCATCAATTTCAGTGACTCTTTCATTTTTTCTTTGACCTTAGTCAGAACATCTTCTACATCACTCTTATAAGAAAAGTGTACTCCTGTTTTAAGTGATGAGGCACACACTTTTTCAGCCAGTTTCGTTGTTGGTCCAAAAAGTTTTAACTCCAATTTGTCGAACCAAACAAGGAAGTGCTCACCAAGACCGGCCATGGCAGGGCTCCGAGCAGGGTGTTTTGCTGACCGATTTCAAATGCTAAACAGTCACGTGATGACCTAACGTTCACACCCCAAAAAAACGAATGCGTCATTGGTTACGCATGTTGCTTGTTTCAAATGCTAAACAGTCACGTGATGACCTAACGTTCGCACCCCAAAAAAAGAATGGTAACGGACTTCCGCGTGCTAAGTGTTTCTAAGTATCACTGGAACGAGTCACTACAACCCGAGGGGGAGGGGTGAGAATGACGCAATAGTGACCGAGGCAGAGCAGAGGTCACTATTGCGTCATTCTCATCGACGAGTTCAGTGGTCTAACTGGCTTAGAACCGCGGCACGGAGAGCGCAGTTTCGCTTAGTCCTTTCTATAGTGTGCAAGACCCGTTACCCAGTTTGCTCTGCCTGCCAGAATTTAGGCTCGTTGGCCCATTTGGCTCATAGCTTCGAGACTGCAGGACGCGTTCATCGTACTAGCATCGCAGCAACTGGACAGATATATCCTGCGAGCCCCGCCGGAGCAAGACACTGCCACTGGAGCGCTCAGCCCGCGCCGCTTGATCTGGAGGCGATTTGTTGTTTGTCGCTAGTCAGACGTTGAAATCAGCTACGTGGCTCTACCGCCCGGGAAACGCCTGACTAGCGACCAACAACAAATCGTCCAAGCGACGCGGGCTGAGCTCTGCGATGCTTGTATGATGGCGGCAGCCTCGAAGCTAGGAGCAAATGGGCTTTCCCACTCCTTGATTATTATGGATTTGACCCTTTGTGAAATCTCAGTGATCTAAATTCTTCACAGTGATCTAACTTGCAACTTAGAGACTTAGTACTTAGATACCTGGCAGACCTAGTACTACGGGTTTTAGAAACTTGATTTCTAGGCTCAGAGTGGGCGGAGCCCTTTTCCGCGAAGCGCGGCGGAGACGACGAGCGAGTGCTGTAGCTTCTGTAGGTTCTAATTTTTTTGTTTTTTTTGTTGCATAAGTACCTAGAGCGTCTTAGTGCATAGCTCGAGCAATCTGATTGGTTCACACGAGGTATATACTTGATTTCCCATAGTATACCTGGGACGCTCCATAGTAAACCTTGTTTTTCATGTAAAATTTTCACATGAAAATGACAAGATCACATACATAATCTACAGAAACATGTATAGCTTTATCGTCTACAATAATTCTTTTTTCAACAGTATGCACAGAGACAAGAAGTCTGGGCCTAGTTGTACGTAAGCGCCTGTACGCTAACGCTAGCGGTACGTCACGCCTGCGGATACGTGCGCGTAGAGTGGGCGGAGCCCTTTTCCGCGAAGCGCGGCGGACGACGAGTGAGTGCTGTAGCTTCTGCCTACCGTTTCTGGCTCGCCGCTGGTGGCTTAAATCTCGCTCGAGTCTGTTACAAATCGCGTCTTCACGCTCATTCGAATTTCAGTCGCCTGGAAACGGGCGCTGTGCGTGTGCGGATTTGTCTGCTCTGCACTAAACATGTTAGTTACTCCGTGTACTCGGGAACTACGGAATTTCAATGAACCCTCGGGCTATCCGCGTACTTGCCCTCGCTGCGCTCGCTCGGGACACTACAATGCGGAGGCACTCGGGTTCATTGAAATCCGGTAGTTCCCTCGAACGGAGTATATACCTCTAGAGAAACTCCAGCGCGCTCAAACTACATGCGCCGTAGTATGGAGGAAAGTTTGTTCTTGCCCTTTGACCCTTGGTTATTTGCAGTGAGTGGACCAGCCCCATTGTCAATGAGATTCACCAATGCTGGCTTCTAGATTTTCGTTTTCGGAGGTCACGTTCTCCCCACCGTCGGCCATATGGAAGGCGATAAGGCACGTCAGTCACTCCGCTGCAAGAACAATCTTTCCTCCATATTACGGCGCATGCGTATGCTCTGGAGTTTCTTCAAGACGCTCTAGGGGTTGGCTGTTCTAGGACGCTCTAGAGTTTGGCCGTTGTAGGACGCTCTAGAGTGTCTGTAGAACGCTCTACAGTAAGGCCGATTTTTGTTACGTTAGGCGTGCCATACGCTCGAGGGTGTGGCCCAGCCAGACTAAGTTCAAAGGTCACATCTAAAAGTCCACGCTCCTCTTCACAATGCCTAGTCGAGACGTAAAGTCCTATCTTCTCAGGAAGGCAGACGGGAGAGATGAGGCTGTATCCCGTCATTGGTTGGAATTAGAAGATTTGTACTCAAAAAGGTTGGGTTTGACTAGCTAATTCTAGTTCTGATAGTCAGTGTAATGAACTCTTTTAGGTTGTGGCACCAATTAACATTGAAGATTCAAACATTTATTCGCCATGAGTCTTTCAAGACAACTGGACTCTTTGAAGTACGATAAGTTCAAAATTATGTGTCTGAACTTCACTGTTAGATTTGCATTGTAATCTTCAGGTGACCTGCCTTTGCCTTTGGATTCCTTGTCTGTGTCCCTGTTTTATTAACTGGCCACTGGTTGAACACCAACCATCCGTGCTCCTTAGTTTATGGAACTGCCCACGTAGTCCCTGTTTTGTCTGCCACTGGCTTTGGCAGATTCTTAACTTCTGTAGCTGACAGGTACCACAGAACGTTGAAAACAACAAATGTAACAATTGCTTTCTCGTTGGCCACAGGGGAAAAACGAAAGCAAATTGTATTTGCAACAGTTATCACTAAGTACGGTAGTCCTTAGTACACAAGTGCATAAACATTCTTCGAATTAAAAAAGTGTGGAATATAGGCATGCCATAAAAAGTAAGGAGACAAGACAGGGATGACCTATATAGTGAACATGATGCAGTAGTACAATTGATGATGGCTACATACTTTGAACTGACATTGCTTGCTCGTGTAAAATTCCTCCACACAAGCCCTATATTGTTGCGAAGTATGAGTGTGCTCCCTTGTATGATGCATATTTCATAAGCACATTAGACAGGCAATACCATCTACTCGGTTTTCAGTTGTGACTGCATTGTGTGAAGTCTATGACTTCTACATTTGCTCAACGAACCAGTTACAATGCAGTGTTCTTGGCCATCTACATACAGAATCCTTTCACCATTGTCATCACTTCACTCATCCTTGCACTTCACTAAACAAACAGTAAAGGTGGCGACAATATAGGGCTTGAGCAAGCGATGTCAGTTCAAAGTATGTAGCCATCATCCATTGTACTACTGCATCATGTTCACTACATAGGTTATACTGTCTTGTCTCCTTACTTTTTATGGGATCCCTATATTCCACACATTTTAATTCGAAGAATTGTTTATTACTTGTCCCCTTTCCTTACTGCATTCACATGCATAGTGTGAAATAAAAAGGGGATAATTTTGGGCATAAGCCTATAAAAAAGGAACTTAGTGTCCTTATCATTCACATTACATCAGTGCACCAAGTTTCATTGTGAATTGTGAGGACCCACCATAAGCAAGTTATGTTGCCTGAGGCTGTTTGTTGTTGTTAACCCTCGGCGCGTATGCGCAGCGGGGGTTATAGTACTTGGTTTGTCATTCCGTCCGTCCGTCTGTCCTTCCGTCTGTCTGTTACCACGTTTTCTCCCGCTACACGCAACAAGACGGTCAAAAAGCGATACCAACGGGCTCAGTGCCACACTGGCTTTATTTCAATAGCGATTTTGGTAAAAATGCTGCGTTCCAAAGTTATGGCGTCAAAAGCAAGTCAAGGAGCTAATATGCAAATTAGCACAGGCTTACCTCGACCACGTCCACTCGCTCTTTGTAGTAGCGAGAGGCGATACACGCCCTGCGTTGCATCTTCTGGTGCCTCCGAAGTACGCAGAGCACGCGGATCGATCCGACTGTGGTAAGCCGTCCGTTGTGTATTTGCATATTGGCTTTTTCGCGCTCTAGCTTTGCAACGGAGCAGTTTCAGAGAAAACCGTTCGAAATTTCTGACCTTCATTGCCCGTTAAGTAGGTCGTATCCTTTGTGAGACGAACAAACACCCGAGAAGTGAGATTGAGAGTAACAGACTGACAGACAGACCCAACTACTGTAACCCTCACTGCGCATGCGCGCCGAGGGTTAACAACAATAATAATTTGGAAAACTAATTTTCTTGAATAAATCAAGTACCGATATTGCGATTTAAGCCATTTCTTGGATACATGCTCTTTGCGACGATACGGATCAGTCTGATGTGTCAAAAGTTGGATCTGATTGAAACTGAAAGTGAAACATGAAAATCTCAAATGTATTGGCATAATGCAGGACAACCTGTGTCACCCTATATACTAAGTACTGCTGTACTTAGTGATAGGGATGAGCATGATACCTAGATGTGTATTGGGCTATGATAGGGAGTTTTGTTTATCATCATCTTCTTCGTGTGGTCATCGTTTCCATGACGACCACATATTGTTAGAACGACATCAAATAGCTAACTTGGTATGCATGCAAAGCCTTGTGGGGATGAACTCATTAGTTCAGAACCACAAGTGCTGCGCTCATGTCAGCTTTATAAACTCGTGATGCCAGAGAGAGAAGTTGTGGTATGCTCTGCTGTTGAGGGCCAACAAGCCCAAAACAGCTGTCCAGAGCTCCTCATCTTTTTTCTCTTGGCATCACATGGTTTTTTTTCTACATGTGTATGCACTGGTAGGATATGGGTGCTTGCTGGCTTCATTGCTGCGGCCCAATCCACTATGCCAGTATTTTGAATTCGGGTTTTGGCTCAGTGCTGACCTTGACCTGCAGGAGTGGGGAGGAGCCTAGGCTCCAAACCACGAATGTCTGGGCATTGTCAGCAGCACATACCAGTGGCAAAGCCTTGTGGGGATGAATCTCATTAGTTCAGAACCACAAGTGCTGCGCTCATGTCAGCCTTTATAAACTCGTGATGCCAGAGAGAGAAGTTGGTTTTCACATGGTTTTTATACATGCGTTTTACATCATTTCCAGACGACAACAGGCATTGTTATCTATCATTAGCTTTTATAGAGGACTTGCCCCCTTTCACAGATATATACGAGGTAGTATTATAATAATGAGTAGAGACAAGTAAATTAAATATACTGCGAATTTAAAAAAAGGGGCATATCGTGATGAAGCATCGTTAATGAATAGATTTGAGCACACTGACACCCCATCACACAATCACTATATTGTTGCCTAGGTGAAATATTAAACATTCACCATTACAATACTCTGAACAAAAAAGCCATGTTACTGAGTATCCAACACTGTTATAGAGTCCAAGTGTTGTTTAATTAAAGGGAATGTGACAGTATAAAGTTAATAAAAATAACAGGGGCACGGTGAAAGAATGCTTGCCTTTAGTAGTAACCTTATATAATGCCACATTTCCTATAAGCAGTAGCACACCAGGCAATAATAAGGGATTGTGTGACAGGGTTGGGGGTGTCAGTGTGCTCAAATCTGTTCATTAACCTTGCTTCATGTATCCCATCCCTATCTTATCTCCCTTTCTTTTTATACCATACCTACCTACATATATGTCTCTTTTTTTGAAATTCGCAAGATAGTTAATTTCCTTCTAGATTTTTCTTCAGTGAGCGGTATCTAATCCTATAACTTTTTACGTATGTAACGGGCGACAGAGAGACGTGAGGTTGAGAGGGTGGGATAGAGGATAAAGTTAATTGAGATGTAGACTATGGCGGCTTTTTTCATTCATTGCTGTTCTAGCTCTGAGAGTGTTTTAGTGTATGAACTTATCTAAGATCAAAGCCAAACTATTTTTCTAGTCATTGTTATATGTTGCACTGTGTTTATTATGCTCCTTCAAGCTATCCTCTTTGTTTTTCCAATTTTATACTCTCTATGTATTTGTTCTTATACAGATGTACGAATGTTTCATAGCAGATTTTGAGCACAAGTGAGTCTTTGGTACATATTTATCTCCCACATTTTTCATGTACATAGTGAACATAAAGTTGGTTCTGCTGTGAAATTTATTAAATGGCAGTCATAGAACTACGGCCATTGACCACTTACCCAGGGCACTGAGCTTTAAACTGATGTATGTATACAAAGGTTACTGCTGGTGTCTTCCATATCACTTTGACAGACACGATCGCTTGCAGTTCTCCAGCTGCACTCTGAGACTGCCACTGTTAAAAAGTGGGGTTAGCCTTCTTTACGTCATACTCAGCCTTCAAACATAAAGTAAATATGTACTACTTACATAGTTACTGGGCATACAACTCACATACAACAGCTGACAAACTGGCACTGATCAAGGCACTACTTTCTTCCCCTGTGCCTGCCCAACTCTGCCCGTTGGTTCCTGATTTAAACTTAATCTATACCATTCTTCACTCTAGCAAAGCATTTTTAGCGAGCAGAAGCGATTTAACTGCAGATTTTTCCATTAGTGAGAATACGTAGAGATAATTAATATATATAACTTGTCGCATAGCTGCTGCTTCTCTTGGTTACAACTTCCCTGCGAAAGAAGAGGCTAAATGCCTTGGCTACCGGTGGAAAAGAAACTTATCCTCACTGCCAATGATTGAAGGCCAAATTCAGAAAGCGAGAAGCCCTTTTTTCAACTTGGCAGCATGTATGCCTTCCATAGTATGGCGTAGCCGTCCCCTCTAGAAAACGTTTACGTGATGGGTGTGGCTACGCCAGATTATGCCTCCCCGGGTAGTCTAAGCCTGGTGTCATCATCCTCGTGATTAACCCTCGCCGTGCATGCACGGCGAGGGTGGTGTGTCTGTCAGTCCGTTACTTGACATCTCACTTCACGAGCCATCGATTGCTCCACAAGCGATACCACGTATTCAGTGTCGGATAAAGGTCGAAAAATATGTGGGGTTTTCTCTGAAACTAGCTGCATTCGGGAGTTACGGCGTGAAACACGAGCGAAAAAGCCAATATGCTAATTAGAACAGCCTTACCTCGAGCGGGTCCGCTATCTTGAAGGCACAAGAAGTCACAACGAAGGGCATGTATCGACTCCCGCATGCTATCTATACTGCTGTAGCAGCCATTGTCAGGCTCTCTGCTAGCTACTAGCGGGAGACTACGAGTAAACACATACTAATAGCCAAGCCCATCAATTAGCGGTACTACGCATGCGCAGTTTGCCGAGGGTTTGCACTTCATGGCTTTTTCATGAGCATAATTTGCTTGTTCACTTGGTTTTATGCCATAACTGAAGTTTCTCTACCAAAATTTAGCCAGCATACCTTTTTAACTTGTTGGTATCACTTTTCAGCCAGCCTAGTGGTTCACATGAATACTGTGGCACACTCACCCACAAACCAAGAACTTTCACACTCGCTGCACATGCATGCCGATGGTTAATATGTTTAATTTTCCCCTAGGATTAACCCATTGTCACTAGTGGATATTGCAGTTGTCACAAGTAATGAAATAAAAGGTATGTTACCAGCAGTGTTATACATACCTACATTCTGTTTCATAGTTAATGTGATTAACCATTGGGTCCTGTGTGAGGCTACACCTGTGCAGCAGTCAGTGACTATTCCCCAAGTTTAGTTAGCCTGTGCCGCATTCCTGGCAAAATTTTTTTGCCCGCATTCCAGTAGTTCGTCCAACAGTCTCTATTTGACTGTTTGAAGTGCACCTGGCACTCATCCGCCGTGCTGTAAAGGTCACTGCGCTAGAGTGAGAGGTACTCGCCACTGTGAAGAAAGGCGAAGTATAAGAAGTCACTGCTTGGGGGAGATTTCTTCATTGGGCAGGAGGTGAGCCACCCGTGACGGCGGGGACAGTCGTCCTGGGAGAACCTCTCCCGGTTTATATTGCGGCAGATCTGCTGGTGCTTGTAGCCAGCTGTGGTGATCCTGGCTTTCTTGGCTGACCCACCGGAGGAAAGAAAGAGGCCATAGAAGGAGGTGAGGCGGTGGTCACTCCAACAACTGGTGTGAGCCTAGCCAGACCCTGTGAAGGCCTTGGTGTATAGCATACCAACCAACCATCCAGCTCTTTGCTTGATAATCAAGCAAAAATACTGCCTATCCCACCAGAAAATTGCCATATCCCTTTTTTTTGTGCTTACCTGTGATGCACCATGCCTATACATTTTGAATGGACACACAGCATTATAAAGCACAAATACTCCAAATGAAGCAAATTTCACACATTTCATCTGCAGGTTGGTAGGTATGGTATAGCTGTGGGTCTATTTGGGCCGAGGAGGCATGGCGAAACCTAGCTGCCTGCCTTCCTTCTGAAGGTAACATCAACACGATGCATGACAATTAATTGTACTCTGCATGGCATGTGGTGATAGGTAGGGGTATCCCATGAGGTCCATTGACTTCTGTGGCTGATTTGAAGACAGCAAAGCACCTGTCCCACTTTATAAAGGGAGGAGACCTCCATATTCTGGGGAGGGTAAGCTCCCCTAGCTCAATTTGGACAGGGTCTTCTCTGTACCTTTTCACCCTAAGGCATGACACAGTCCATTAAATTGCACAAACTCACCTGAGGTTGTTGCAGTAGCAACCTGGCCAGTATGGAACTGCTGTACAGAGCAATCTGGGTAAAGGAAAGGAAGGTGGGCAGGGTGGTGCTGCTTGGTTCTAAGTGGGAAGGGACACACAGGTCTGAGTAGGTGGAGCCACCAGAAGAGCCACTCCAGGTATCTGCTCGAGAAATGGAGTCTGGTAAACCCATCCGTAAAAGTGAAGTTGTGGTTGTAGCAGTGGAGCCAGTGCGTTGCAGGGCTGTGATGGATCCAAGCAATATCAAGAGGAGCCTGTCAGATGGACCTGGCTTGAGGCAGCAGTGCAGCGAGAACCATATGTACCATTCTAATATTTGGAGGAGCCAGACACGGCGGGAGGGTCCCCGGTCCCCGGCCCAGCCCACGTGCGCCCATCGACAGAGTAGCGATGGATACCTGGCCCGGCCACATGATCTGACGTGGTGCCACGTGCTGCTTCGAGCAGGCCTGTGAGACTGCTATGCTGGTCATGGGCTGACCGTGTGACCTCACGTGACCTGGCGGGCGGCGCACGTGTTTAGACTGTGGGACATTCCCACGGCATGCGGCATGATGCTGGGGGAGCATAGGTGGGAGCCCCTATGCTGCAATTAGGGGTGAGTCCCCCAAGGATAGTAGGTGGTGGCTGCCGACTAGTATGCTCCCCCCATGGCAGTAGGAGATTAGACCCAAATCAGCTTAACAACGCCTGCACCATTTTCACCCTTCTTTTTCTCTATTTATGTCTATATTATTGTTTCCACTGTGGCACCGTACAGGTCTAACCGAAATAAACCTAACTAGATGCGAGGCTCGACTAAACCTGACTAGCTACGAGGGTCCGCCGTGGGGTGCGATAGTTGCTGAAACGGCAGCTAGCCTCTCGCAGGGTCCTGATGTAGAGTAGGAAGGCCGCACTCTACCAACGTCCCAACAGTTGTATTGTCGAGTCTTCCACTCCGGCGAGAGCTGCTGACGTCGCCGCCCCAATCCGGAAGCTATGGCCCCGCATAGTTGACGTCCGGGAGGCCAGTGCCATCAGGATCTTCCTGAGCTCGGCCACGAAGGTTGGCTTGGTGAGGGCGACATCGACGATGATAGAAAAAATGGTCCCTGGCGGTCGCCACGCGCTGCGACATATGCCGATACGGCGCCCACAGGGCACAGATCGCGGTCTGTCCTCCCCACTATGATATCCACCCCATGGCTGTACTTGTCGGTTTTCGATTGCCTGAGGTGGAATTCGACCATCCAGGGGGCCTGGGGATTGTTGACTGCCATGTCACCCTTGGCCAAGTGCAGCCGCGGGTTGAAACTCCCTGGTGACGCTAGCAACAGTTCGCCCAAGCGCACAACAGATGGCTCATAGGGCAATATGCTCTAGGTGGGATGTCCTCTCGAGTTCGTGCTTCATACAGGGGCTGTAATTGGGAGCCGGACTCTCGAGGGGTGGCCGAGACCCAGTTGTGCCCTGCTGATGCCTGCCTGCAGCCGTTTAGACATGGGGAGGGATGACTGTTCCCTGAGGTCTGGGAGGGCCAGCAAGAGCTGCGAGTTCCTTATGGCCGACAGGTACGACTTCACTGTTTGTGGCGTGAGGCCGCTGTCCACCATATATGCGGTGAATGCACAAAGGAGAAACTCGGAAACAGGAAAGGGGTCGGTGACGTGGTAGCGCTCACAGAAGGTGCCGAACTTCCTCATCGCAGAGTCGTAGGTTCTGCGCGTGGCAGGTACGTGACCGCAGGCACGCTACCACCGCCTGATTGTCGCACAGGGCGGTGACATGCCGCCGTACCACATTGGCCCCTGACCGAGCAAGCTAGGACCACCGGAAGCAGCTCCTTCGCCTGCAAGCAACGCTAAACTGATTGCTCTTTGAGCGCTAGAGTATCGATCTCAGACCTTCGCTGGCAACTTTTTAGCCTACCCAGAGCTCTCACCTTGGCACTCTCAGTTAGCAAGAGCCTCTCTCTCGAGTCTACTCGTTTGCCGTTCCCGTTCGTCCTACCTTTCGGGTAAGCTTGTCGGCGTCTTCAGTAAACAGTGTTTGATGAGATATTTCATGCAGTTTCCGTTCAACTAGTGAGATATTCCATCCAGTTTCCGTTGAACTGAGATATTCCATCCGCTACTGGCTATTTTGTTTGGATATTACAGCCTGCTGGGTATCGCGCACTTACGCGGTTTGCGGTATTACTTATACATGAGAGGCGGCGCCTTTGATGTTACACTTGACAGTGGTACAAATGTATACAAGTAAAAAATGCTGCGAATCAAAAAATTGTGGAATATAGGGATGCCATAAGAAGCAAGGAGACAAGACAGGGATGACCTGGGCATGTGATGCAGTAGCACAATGGGATGATTGTTACATCTTCAAACTGACATTTCTTGCTCATGTAAATTTTACTCCACACAAGCCCTATATTGTCGCCACTCTTACTCATGACATGAGTTTTGAATAGTGTAGTGTGAAGACTGGCAAACGAATTCTGTAGGGAAAGCAGCATTGTAAAACCGGTTAGTTGAGCGAACATTGAAGTAAACACAGTCACGATTCAAAACTGTGGACCTGTCAGAGAGGGTATTTGCTACCAGTCTTATGTGCATAGGAAACGAGTCTTAGCTGTACATCATATGATAGAGATCACTCATGCTTTGCGACAATATAGGGCTTGTGTGTAGTAAAATTTATGTCAGTTGCAGGCACAAACATAATTTACAACTATATATTGCCTGCGGCTGTTTGTTGTTGTTTACAAACTTATAATTTATGTTTCGGTGAACTCTGATCGTTGTAAATCAGTGTACCAAGTTTCGTTGTTAGAGGACCCATAATATGCATATTATAGGCACAAACATCTTTTTATTGCCTGAGGCTGTTTGTTTGTTGTTTACAAACTTGTAATTTCTGTTTCGATGGACTCTTATCATCGAACATCAGTGTACCAATTTTCATTGTTAGAGGTCCCACCTTAAGCAAGTTATAGGCAATAATATAGTTTACAAGCTTTTATTGCCTGAGGCTGTTTGTTGTTGTTTACAAACTTGTAACTTCTGTTTCAATCAACTCTCATCATGGTACATCAGTTTCATTGTTAGAGGACCCACCATAAGTAAGTTATAGGCACAAACACATTTTACAAGTTTTTATTGCCTGAGGCTGTTTGATGTCGTTTACAAACTTGTAATGTTTACATTTGATGGGTTTCATGTGTGTACAAAGTTTTATCACTCTGGGTATTAGCTTTTTCCAGTTAGCACATTATCATAATGTATTGCCTGGGGCTATTTGTTGTTGTTTACATGTAAGCAAAATTGTTTACGAAGAAATAAAAATTCTCTTGCACGACCTGTGATGGATTCCAATATCTGTAAAAGTTTCATATCCATATCTTACCTGGTTTTTTAGATACGTTCGTCTAAACTGAACAACAACAACTACAGGAAGAAATTAAAAAGTGACTTTTTGAATAAATCAAGTACTGATTATGCGATTTAAGCTATTTCTTGGATACATGCTCTTTGTGACGATACAAATTAATCTGATGTGTCAAAAGTTGAAATAGAAAGCGAACATGAAAATCTCAAAGGCATAGGCATAATGCAGGACAACCTGTGTCATCCCTATATACTAAGTGCACTACAGTACTTAGTTATAGGCTTTGAAGCCCACATGGATATGCACACGTAACATTTAAAATGATGCAGACTATACACTGCTTGTTATACAAGTAAATTAAAAATCCTGCGAATTAAAAAAAGAGGCATATAGCGATGGCATAAAAAGAAAGGGAGACAAGATAGGGATGGGATACATGAAGCATGGTTAATGAGCAGATTTGAGTACGCTGACACCCCCAACCCCATCACACAATCCCTATATTGTTGCCTGGTGTGCTATATACTCTTATAGGGGCTAAAGGTTACTAAAAAGCAAGCATTATTTCACCGTGTCCCTGTTGTTTTTAGTAACATTTATACTGCCACATTCCCTTTTAAACTCCACTTGGACTCTATAAGGGTGTTGGTTACTCAGTAGTGTATTGTAAGTTCTGAGTATTGTAATGGTGAATGTTTAATACTTCATCATTTTTATATACTACTACGTATTATATCTGTAGAAGGGGGCAAGTCCCTATAAAAATGTTAATAGAGAAAAATGCCTGTTGTCGTCACGGAAATGATATGCATACCATGTTTCATCTCCATGTGTGCTGCCGTTAGCAAGTTTGAGGAGTGAAGAAGTAATTGTAAAGAAAAGTGCCTGAGGCTATTTGTTGTTGTGGTCGTCATGGAAACGATGTTACACACATGCACACCTAGTTTCACCTCCATGCATGCTACAGTTAGCAAGTTTGAGGAGTGAAGAAGTTATTATAAAGATAATCGTCTAAGGTTTCTTGAAATTGTATGCGGTCGTCATGGAAACATTTAGTTGTCATGGAAATGATATAATAGGCATACATACCAAGTTTCATCTCCATGCATGGTACTGTTAGCAAGTTTGAGGAGTGAAGAACTAATATTAAAGAATATTGCCTGAGGCTTTTTCACCCAATATGCAGTCGTCATGGAAACATGTAATTGTCACGGAAATGATATATAAGGCATACTTACCAAGTTTCATCTCTATGTGTGCTACCATTAGAAAGTTTGAGAAGTGAAGAAGTAAATTTAAAGAAAAGTGCCTGAGGCTATTTGTTGTTGTTTACAAACGTGTGTTGTTGTGATTTTAATGTTTGTGATTGAATACATTATGTGTACAAAGTTTCGTTCACATAGCTCTTACCATTTGTGAGTTATACTGACACATGTGATTATAATGTATTGCCTGGTGCTATTTGTTGTTGTTTACAAAGAAATAAGTATGACCAGTCTCTTCGGGTGACGGATATCTACATTCTTACAAAATTTCAATACTGTATGTTATTTCGTTTTTGAGTTATGGGTGTTGAATCTGAAGAAGAAGGAGAAGAAGAAGATGAACAAAACTCCCTATCATAGCCCCATACATCTATGATGCTAGGTACCATGCCAATCCCTATATACTAAGTACTACCGTCCTTAGTGATTTTGCCATGTGGCTTTTGTGATGGACTTCTTTGAGTTCCTGCTTGCAACATCGCTAAAGCACCTAAAGAGGCATGTTTTAGCAGTTGAGAACTCCCACATTAACTCTCGGTGCATTAAGCCTTGCTACAACGACAGCAAAATGGGTCCAGATGTTCGATAATTTTAATTCAGGATTCTCATATTGACCTAGAAGTTACTGACCAGCACTGTCTCTGCCTTGTGTCCTCGTCTAGAAACCTTCACGCTGCTTTCAGGTTATATTTTTTATAGCCTGGTTCCAGGTGTTTCCTTTGATCTTTTGACAAGTTAGATCCACCCTAGACAAGCTGCTGTGCATGTATCTGATATGTGCACTCACCACAGACCATAGCATGCAGCTGCTGTCTGAACAATGGTATGAAAACACCTGGATCACAGGCTATAAACCACTCCATTATGGTGGTCTGGCAGTATACACGCCCTCAATCCTCGTGCGTGTATACCAGCCAGATCATAGCTCAATGTGGTGTTTTTACTTACGTGCGTTATCCTTGGATGTCTGTGCAGAGGTTTTGAGGTTTGTGCAAAATCTGCCGATGGTCCCAATCTGTATATACTGCAACAAAGAATTGACTTTTGCCTACGTACATAATGCCTTACCTCATAAGAAATACTAGGTTTGCACACCCCCATTGGAAGCTGTTGTGCAAATTTTTTTGCTTGCCTGTGTGCTTACATATGTCATGTGTCATCTTTGTTATGTGGATTATTTTAGGCCCAGATGAAAAGATCGAATTCCTAAAAAATATAAAGGACAAGGTTAGTTCATGTTAACCTAGTTTTAAGACAAGAACTATATGCCATTGGCTATTACTTTTACACTTAGCCTATGTATATATACCTCTACCAGGAACACACTGTGTTAGTTAGTACAGTAGGAGTCCAAAAAATGTTTTACAATTTCGTTCCGTTTCTTTCCGTTTGCCGTTCGCCGTTCAGTATCGTTCTGTTCCGTTTCCGTTCAGTTGTGAATTCCGCGTGACATGCCGTCCGCAAACGCGGTAGAGACTCGCTAGCGGGAGAGCGAAACAAGGTTTTTTCTTAGCACAAACACGAAGCAATGAGAAGGCAGTACCCACGCAGGTGCTAGAAGAAATATCTTCACAGTGAGGCATTCGCATCTCGCGCAATGACGGCCCTCACGCGAACAGCATGTACGGCATAAATGGAACGCAACAGAACGGAACGAATTCAACGGTAAATGAGCGTTTAAAAGGGAATGGAAGCTCCACGAAACGGACGGAATGAAATTGGAAAGTTTTTTGAACCCAACTGTAGAATGTGGCACCGGCATATCCTTAACCTTCTGTGCGCATGTGCCGCGAGGGTTACAGTAGTTGGTTGTGTGTCTGTGTGGCGACACGCTGTATTCTGGCACTACTGCTATGAGGTGGGTTATTGTGATACCAGCGGCTCGGAACTATGTGAGCCTCTGAAATAAATGACGCGATTTTTCTGAACGACTGCGTGCGAGAGATATGCATGTGAAAATACAAGCGATAGCCAAGATGCATAATTCAGCAGTGCTTACGCTAGACCTGATCTGCGCGCTCGTTGTGTACTTGGAGGACACAAGAAACAACACGAAGAGCCGCGTGTCCACTCCCGTGCTCATTCTTATCTACTAGTGTCGCTACCTGGTCAGACTCTCCGCTGGCTACTAGCAACGAGACTATGCGTACGCATACTCATAGCCCAGCCATCTACTCTCGCGGTACGCGCCCTGACATGCGCAGTTGGCGAGAGTTTTGCTCTTTGTTTGGGGCACCTCAAGTCAGTGCTTTCAGCCTTTGTTGGTGTCTGTCGTCTGTCTGTACACTTTGTTCGTGCGCTACACCAACGAGACAACAAAAAAGACGATACTAAACGGGTTCATCACTTCATTTAAAAATGGCGATGTCGTCTCCTCAATACGACTGCGTTTCAAAAGTTAGGGTGTGGAAAGCAACGTGTGAACAAGCCAATCTTCAAATTAGCACAGGCTTACCTCAACAGGGTGCGCTTGCTCTGTGCATCTTGAAGGCACAAGAGTCACACCGAAGGCATGGTGTATGTCGACTCCGCATGTTATCTACTACTGTAGCGAGTCGTGTCGACTCTCAGTGAGCTACTTGCACGATGTCACACGCATACTAAAAGCCATGCCCATCATTCGTGGTTCGCGCCCCTGTGGTTGCGT